CCCGCCCCAAACCCTCCCCCATGGTAACTACAAGTCACTTTTCAGTGTCTATGAATCTACTGCTGTTCTGCTCATTCTGTTTTTCTTTGTTTTTATATTCCACAAATAAGTGAAATCCTATGGTATTTGTCTTCTCTTCCTGGCTTATTTCACTTAGCATAGTATCCTCTAGCTCCAGCTATGTCAAACACAGAGATTTGTTTTTAAATGTATTTCAGATAGTTCATCTGTCGATATTGTTTTACATACTTTCTTGTCTAGCTGTGATCCATATGACTATACATAGTATATAATTGTAAAAAAGGGGTATTTATGTATTTTCACTTAATACCATAAACGTTTATCCTTGTTGCTATAGGTTTTCCCGAATTTTTATTTGAATGACTATAATCTTTTATTTAGTAGTACCTTATGTCTCCCCTGTTCTTGGCCATTTCTATTGTTTGTTCTAAAGATAATACTATAATTGACATTTTTTCTGCTTTTCTCTCTCTTTTGTTCATTTTATTGGGTGTCAGCAAGCTTCTTTTCCCAGCAAACCCCAGTACTTACTCAATGAACTTATACAAATATGGCAAAAAACTAGGCTAAAAATGGACTGAACAATATGAACTTTTTTCAACAAAGCTGATCTGGTCACCTCCATTGCTGAATGTCTTACCTGTCATTAGCAAAAACCAAATGCTATGATTTCAATATGTACCATACTTGGAAGGGAGTATCTGGTCACCTAGTAGTGACCAGTGATTATATTAATCACTGCCATTAAATGGGTAATGATTTGTCCTCAGAGGAATAGATACTCTGCTTAACCTAACCTGGATGCAGACTCTTTTCTCTACATTCCATGCTTTTGCCCAGAACCAACTTCCTTGGAATTAATAAACACCTTATTCATTGTCATGGTATCCCACACAATATTGCATTTGAACAAGGAACTCATCTTATAGCTAATGTGAGGCAATGGGAAGTATCTATTGGATTCGTGGGTTTTACCACACACCCCATCACTCAGAGGAAGCTGGTATCATTATTATAGAATATGGAGTGTTGAATATAGAATAGTACCTTGAAGACTCATTTATGACACTAGCTAGGGGACTATGTCTTATAAGGTTAACATTTTTCCCTATGGAATACAACACATGATCTGAGACAGCTTTCAATACATGGTGCTCTTTCCCTCTCAGATGTACCCAGATCTGTACCTCACTTCAGGCAGAGAAGTGAGAGCAACCCACTCACTGTTTAACCTGATGACCTATTTGCCAAGCGTGTGCTCACATTTCCCATTGCGTTTTGCTGACCTAGAAGTATTAATGCCCAAAGATGGACAATTTCACTAGTAGACATCACAGTGGTCTCACCAAAGTGGAAGTTAAGACTTCCATCAGACCACTTTGAGACCCAGGTGTTACTGAATTTACAGGTAAGAAGGGTAGTCACTGAATCAGTAAGTGATTAATCCTGATTATCAGAGGGAAATGGTAGTTGGTGACACTCTATGAAGGCAAGAAAGAAGATATTTAGAACTTCGGAGACCTTCTGGAAGTGAATTAGATTTGAATCATCTAAATAGGAAAAAAAAAAAAAAAAGTTCCAAAAAAAAAAGGAATGAGAAGCAAACAACATTAAGGATACAAAAGCTCAAAATAAAAATATACTAAAACAGACTCTAATATTCATAGGAATTTAATAGATAATGAAGGTAGTACCACACATCAGCAGAGAAAATGGCCCACAAACGGTGCTGTGGAAAATTTAGTCAACTGCTTAGGGTAAAAAACTAAGTGGTCCTCAGCAAGAAGGATTTCTAACAATAGAAACCATACACACACAAAAAAAAGCCCTATGGACATCAAAAAATCACCACCACAAAAAAGGCTGGACGCAAATTATTTGCAATAAAGGAGAGATGAACTAAAGACTAATATTCTTAGTATATAAAAAACTTTGTAAATTAGTAAGAAAAAGTTCATAAAATACTCAAATTGAAAAGACAAGAGAATTAGGAAAACACATAATTTCACTAATAGCAAAGAAGTGCCCATTAAAACAATGATAAATCACTTTTCACCTAAAATAAAATAGTAAAAATTAAAATATATTACATACTGCAGGTAAAAGTGTTCACATTTTCACACATTGCTTGAATGTACTTGCATATATTGCAAGCTGGCAATACATATCAATATTCTTTAAAATAGTTATAACCTTTAATCCAGGAATTCTACTGTCAGATGTCAATCTCCCAAAGAAATAACCAGGGATATGAACAAATATTTGCAAGGATCTTCATCAACAGCATTTATAATAAGAAAAAATAAGGAATCACTAGGTCCAACCATAGGGGATTAGTAAAATAAATCATGGCTCATCTATGCAATGGAATGTTATGAATTCATTAATGTTTTTAAGGCTATTTAGGACACAGAAAAATACATTAATAAAACAGCACCAAATGCTTCTCTCAGTGAAACCATAATATTAAGTTTAAGGATATAAAATTCAAACAGCTACCTCCCCTGCCCTTCTCTATACTGTCATCCTCCTCGTTCCTGAAGCCCTTCTCTGCTGCTCTAATCTACTCCATACACCTGCCCTTTTGTTGCTGGGCCTCCCCACTCTAAACACTTCTCTGCACGTAAGTCCCAGAGAAAAAAGATAGTTTTGTATTGTCTTAATACTCTTATTGAAGATTTTTTTCCTCAATACCTAGCATCCTTCTCTGTCACTTAACCAGCTTTCTCAGGATATCCAGCTCTGTTCCTCCAACCCCTAACCCCTATCCCCATCCCAAAAATCTTCCCTTCCTTCCTGTTTATGATGGGCGCTTAATGAATGAACCAATGAGTAAATTTTCTAACAGTATAAATCACATTCTAATAAATGAAATCAATTGCTGAGTTTAACTGCAGATGATGAATTACAGGATGCTTTTATTTTCTTCTCCACATTATTCTACTCTCTCCATATTTTCTACAATACAAACCACATACACTTTTATAATAGAAAAATAAACAAACAGAACTGTACTTTCTCCTCCATTTCAATGGCCCCAAGGTCTTGATTAGAGATACTCATGATTGACCAGAGGTAATAAAAGAAACTCAGCTGTATGATTTCCATGTATTTCGAAAAACATTTAGAACCTACAGTAGGCAGGCCTCAACAAGCAGCCTCTGGCCACAAATAGCAGTTCTCTTTTCTAGAATTAAAGATTAACTCCTAACAAAATTAAAGCATTAATTGTCTCAAAATCAGACAGCCATCTTGTCTGCCATCTCTAAGCAAATTGCAGATAAACTCTTAATACAAATCTGCCCAAAGGAGATACAATACTATTTCACAAAGGTGTTCTTCCTCTTTTCATACATGGCCAGCTTGGTGCATAGCATGTTTAGCTACAAACACTTCTGCTGACTCTCCCTGCAGCATTTTCATGGCTCGCCAATAGATCTGCCCACAGTTCTCAGGTCTACCAAGGGGGTGATTCAATTCTTCTTTGATATAATCCATCCAGAGATCTTTAAAGGGAACCAAAAAAATTACTGTAAGCATATAATAACTGACAAGGCTTTATTAGGTAAGCTTTAGTATCTGTAATATGCTTTTATTTCCCTAGAACATAAATCAAAACAATACCTCTCTCAGCTTCTTTCCACCAAGGTACATCAAAATTATTTTTTCTTAAGTAAAAAAACTTCACTTTAAAATCACAGTCATTGTATTTCATAAACTCAAAATACTAAATATTTTTAGAGAGAGGATTTTGCTGAGTCTCCTTCAAGGTGAAACTGACCTCAATGAGTTCACTATAACCTTGTTACCATGCTTAATAAAACTTGCTTGGGTTAGTAAATATGCCATTGTCATTCATTTCACCAGGTCTGTTAAAACCTTGTAAGAGTTGGTGTATTTTTTAAAATATGAATTTAACAACTATACATGTCAGGTTTCAAATTCATAAGTAAACATTTCATATCACATACCTATACCCAGAAGTCCTATGAGGACAACTGCCGATGACAACTATCACCAACCAGCATTTCACTACCTCTTTGTTCTAACTCCCACTCCTTTTTGTTCTGAACCGTTAACCTTTCCCTTAAAAACATCAGTTTTTTTAGGAGAACCAAACCAAGTAAATCTTTCTCTAATCCAGAGTTCTTAACAGAAGACCCTCTGGACTCTTGTAAACTTGATATTATAAGCAAAGTTATGTTTGCAAGTATTTATGCACAAAGTGAGGGAGGACGCAGGGGAAGGATACAAGTTTTATTCTCAAAGAAGGCCATGACCCAAAATAGGTTATGTTCTAACCATACTAAGAGATTATAGACTGCACATACAGACTCTTATGTCTGTAACTGAAGTTTATTTTACTTACCAGAGTCTACAGATCCAAACTCTCTCAAAGCCCTCTCATAATATTCTCTTAAATTCGCCATCTTGCAGGATTCCTAAAAAAATAATCAGACAATCTTGCCTTAAAAGCCTAATTTATAAGGTCACAAATTCACTTCAAACACGGTGCTAAGCAGCTACCATCTACTTGAAAGAGAGAAGGGTTGAAGTTCAAACTGAATACAGCCTGGCTCTCAACTTATCCAGAGAAAAATCAAATGCACTACTCATTGGAGTGAAATAAATGCAAGCAGTGCAAAAAGCACTTTGCTAAGGTAGCGTGGAAAAAGCCTAAATAATTCTCAGTTGGAGAATATGAGCAGCTTTTTAGGACTATGTATTTGAAAACCCTGAGGGAGGAGTAGGATTTAAATAAATAAATGGGGAAGGTTCTACTTCCTATGGCTAGGCATTTCTTTTCAGTATCTGAGCTCTGACACGTTAGCTATGTCCACCTTAAAACTTCTTACATCAAAGCATAGCATATCTAAATACTAGTTACCTAACCTTTGGCAAGTTTTTTAAGCCCTCTGACCTTAAAAGTTTCCTCACCCAGAGAACAAGGATAGTAATATCTGTCAGAACAACTACACAGATTAAATTAAAATGCTGGTTAATTGTGCTCCAAGCAGAGCAGCCAGTAACAACTTTACAGATAATCAATATTAATTCTTCACCTTTACTTCCATTTAAAATATATTCTCTTTTGTTTCATTTTCAAAGCAGATTAACACCTTCCATTTAAAAATACTTTTGTATAGTCAAGTAACTATTTTCTCATTCAAATTTCTGCTCACTGAGTGTACTTTTTTTTTTGGTATCAATCTACAATTACATGAGGAACATTATGTTTACTAGTCTCCCCCCTTCAACAAGTCCCCCCCACAACCCCCATTACAGTCACTGTCCATCAGCGTAGTAAGATGCTGTAGAATCACTACTTGTCTTCTCTGTGTTGCACAGCCCTCCCCGTGCCCCCCCCACATTATACATGCTAATCATTATGCCCCCTCCCCCCACCTTTTCCCTTCCTTCTCACCCACACTCATCCTCCCCAGTCCCTTTCCCTTTGGTAACTGTTAGCACATTCTTGGGTTCTGTGATTCTGCTGCTGTTTTGTTCCTTCAGTTTTTTCTTTGTTCTTATACTCCACATATGAGTGAAATCATTTGGTACTTGTCTTTCTCCACCTGGTTTATTTCACTGAACATAATACCCTCTAGCTCCATCCATGTTGTTGCAAATGGTAGGATTTGTTTTCTTCTTATGGCTGAATAATATTCCATTGTGTATATGTACCACATCTTCTTTATCCATTCATCTACTGATGGACACTTAGGTTGTTTCCATTTCTTGGCTATTGTAAATAGTGCTGCAATAAACATAGGGGTGCATGTGTCTTTTTCAAACTGGGCTGCTGTATTCTTAGGGTAAATTCCTAGAAGTGGAATTCCTGGGTCAAATGGTATTCTAATTTGAGCTTTATGAGGAACCTCCATACTGCTTTCCACAATGGTTGAACTAATTTACATTCCCACCAGCAGTGTAGGAGGGTTCCCCTTTCTCCACAACCTCGCCAACATTTGTTGTCTGTCTTTTGGATGGTTGCGATCCTTACTGGTGTGAGGTGATATCTCATTGTGGTTTTAATTTGCACTTCTCTGATGACTAGCGATGTGGAGCATCTTTTCGTGTGTCTCTGAGTGTATTCTTTTATATACACTCAAAGTCAATTTAACCTCATATCTTACACAAGCATGAAAACCAGATTAACACTTTGTTAAGGGCTCATAATGTGCACTGTGCAGTCCTTTCTGTCCATTATCCCCTTTGGCCTTATATCGTACACACCCCTGAAGTAAGTATTATGATGAGGCTTAGAAATAAGTGACTTGTCCAAGGCACTTAACTCTTATGTTATGTTCCTAAACCTGGCTATTAATTATTATGCTCTACTATCTGTACTGTAAGACAAGAACAGATAGTTGACCATTCAATGACTAAAACTATGAAAGAGTTCAACCTCACTAGGAATTTTTCAAAATTTAAATAAAAATAATAATCAAAATACCAAAATAAAGGAGAAAAAAAAAACTGAATACTTGGAGAAGATGTGAGGAAATAGGTATACTGAGATATCTGATTATCACTGTAAGTAAGTATAATTCTTTTGGAGGTCTATATGGCAATATATAAAGAACCATAAAAAAAACCTAGTAGCTCCAGTCCTGGAAATTTATCTCAAGAAAATAATTTCAAAGGAAAAAAAGCTATATAAACAAAATGCTTACAGCTCTCTGTTTTCAGTATCAAAAATCTGGAAAACAACCTCTATGTGATGGAATGGTTAAGAAAATATGGGTTTAAGATTAATGCTATAACCATTAAAAATGATAATCAAGTAAAAATACAGGAATGCATTTATAGAATCATGGTAAGTAAATGAAAAAGAGACCATATGGTATATAGGTCAAAAACAAAACAGTACAAAACTGAGTATATATGTAGAAACAAAAAACTAAAGAAAACAAAAATAAATATGGCTGGTTGCATTAGTGTGATGAGATTACAGGTACATTTTAATTTTTGTGCATTACCCTTCTAAGACTTTCCTGTATTTTTATTCACTCACAATTTCAGTTAAAAATATCAGAAACCATTACTGAGTGCCTACTCTCCACCTCATAACCCAACACAAGCAATAAGCAGGATGCTATGGAGGCAGAGAAGCAGTGCCTCACCCAACCCAACAGGAAAGGCTTTCTATAACAAGAGACATCTGAGTTTTCTATTTTCCAGACATGTACTTTGTCTTTGCTTGACTACCATTCCTAAACCATCTCTATGAAAAAGGGTTGGAAAAAGGGACCAGAAATTTACATATTATAATGAAAGCTTTTTTAAATAACAAAAATGCTGCCACCACTAATCCATTTTTCCAAACAAGAAATGCATAGAACACTTACTTGCTCCTTTTCAAACTGCATCATTTTCCTGAAAAAATCCACTGAAAATGGACGGCTTTCCTGTAAACTAAAAAGGAAGAGAAAATTATTATCTTCCACAAGCCTCTTACATCCCATGAATATAAAACACCTACGCCAGTGCCTCCATGACACATGGCTTAATAAAGACCTGGCCACAATTCAATGCAAGGACTGGACTCGACCACCAGCCACTCTTAACACTTCTAGTCTACAATGACTTATTCTTCACCACCAGCAAACTCTTTCCTATCCAGTTTTCTTTCTGTTCTCTTCTTTCTCACTTTTAGACTTTTAAGTTCCCTCTACTACATCTCAAGGTCTTTTTGAAGGAGCCAGTAACTCCATTTTAAGAATATACCCCAAGGAAATAATTCCAATATGGACAAACAATATTTGTGCAGAAATGTTCATCAAAGCAGTATTACTATGGCCAAATAAATTAAGGCAAATCCACAGAGCCGTGTTAACATACAAGTATTTTTAACAAATTATGTTAATAAAGAATTATTACTGACAGGGAAAATTTGGACAGTCTTAATACCAACAAAAATGGTATATAAAATGTGATTAGAGTGTCATCTCAAATATATGAAAAACACACTTTAAAATGATATATTAACATGTTTTTTTCCTCTTGATGGGATTACATTGCATTGTTAATTACCTCTTTTTTTTTATGTCCACAATGGCCATGAACTGCTTTTATTGTTAAAAAAAAAACTTTCTGAAAACATTTCTTGGATTATTTCCTTAGATAACCACTTGAGATACACATAATCTGGGTTATGAGGAGCCAAATATGGGGTGGAGAGACTAGTAACAGCTGTGAAGTTGAAGAGCGAGTACCTTTTAAACACAACTCTGGCCTTTTTATAGCCACCACTTCGATAAGCCCAATCCAGGTATTTATCCTTCAGAGAGACTGAATCAGCACCAGTGACAGCTGAGAGAGCTTTCTACAATGAAAAAGAAAAAAGAAACAAGCTGCGTGAGGAAATCTATAAGTATCAAAATGTATTTTCCCAGAACCAACCCAGGCTGCTCATTTAATGATGCTTTAGGAACATCTACTATAGAACCAACCCTAAAGAGAGCCAACTAGTGAACCTATTTGTCATGCTCCACATACCACAGGATGTAGAACATGGTGCCTATACCTTAAAGATGGCTTCAGTGTCTTCTTGACTTTTGGCACTTTCACTCCACTCTGCCCAAGAAATCCACAATGGCAGACAAACCTGCTCACATTAAAAACATGTTAGAAAATGACTAGGTCAGCTCTAGGCTCTGAAAACTAGTCACTACAAAGATAGGTTTCTCCTAAGACAATCAATATGTAAAATACACATGCACTGTGACAGAAATCTCAATGCCCAGCAAGAAAAAAACATCAGAACACTGCCTTCTGTCCAAGTCACCCAAAGCAACAGTCTCCTGTAAATTCTAGTTCCCTTCTGTTAAAGAATACTGCTTAAGTACCTCAACATAATAAAGGCCATATGTGACAAACCCATAGCCAACATCATACTTAACAGCGAGAAGCTGAAAGCTTTTCCTTTAAGATTGGGAACAAGACAAAGATGCCCAGTCTCCCCGCTTTTTTTATTCAACATAGTACTGGAGGTCCTAGCCACAGCAACAGACAACACAAATAAATAAAAGGCATCCAGATTGGTAAAGAAGAAGTCAAACTGTCACTGTTTGCAGATGACATGATTTTGTACATAAAAAACCCTAAAGAATCCACTTCAAAACTACTAGATCTAATATCTGAATTCAGCAAAGTTGCAGGATGCAAAATTAATACACAGAAATCTGTTGCATTCCTATATACTAATGATGAACTAGCAGAAAGAGAAACAACAATTCCATTCATGATGAACTAGCAGAAAGAGAAACAACAATTCCATTCACAATTGCATCCAAAAGAATAAAATACCTAGGAATAAACCTAACCAAGGAAGTGAAAGACCTCCCTGAAAACTATAAGACACTCATGAGAGAAATTAAAGATACCAATAAATGGAAATACATCCCATTCTCTTGGCTAGAAAGAATTAATATTGTCAAAATGGCCATCCTGCCTAAAGCAATCTACAGATTCAATGCAATTCCTATCAAAATACCAACAGCATTCTTCAATGAACTAGAGCAAATAGTTCTAAAATTCATATGGAACCACCAAAGACCCCAAATAGCCAAAGCAATCCTAAAAAAGGAAGAATAAGATGGGGGGGGATCACACTCCCTGACTTCAAGCTCTACTGCAAAGCCACAGTAATCAACACAATTTGGTACTGGCACAAGAACAGACCCATAGACCAATGAAAAGACTAAAGAGCCCGGATATAAACCCAAGCATATACAGTCAATTAATATATGATAAAGGAACCATGAACATACAACGGGAAAATGACAGCCTCTTCCACAACTGGTGTTGGCAAAACTGGACAGCTACACGCAAGAGAATGAAACTAGATTATTGTCTAACTCCATACACCAAAGTAACACGAAATGGATCAAAGACCTGAATGTAAGTCATGAAACCATAAAACTCTTAGAAGACAACATAGGCAAAAATCTCCTGAATATAAACATGAGTAACTTTTTCCTGAACACATCTCCTCAGGCAAGGGAAACAAAAGCAAAAATGAACAAATGGAACTACATCAAGCTAAAAAGCTTCTGTACAGCAAAGGACACCATCAGCAGAACAAAAACACATCCTACAGTATGGGCGAATATATTTGTAAATGACATATCCGACAAGGGGTTAACATCCAAAATAAATAAAGAACTCACATGCCTCAATACCCAAAAAGCAAATAACCCAATTAAAAAATGGACGGAGGATGTGAACAGACAACTCTCCAAAGAAGAATTCAGATGGACAACAAACAGGCACATGAAAAGATGCTCCACATTGCTAATTATCAGGGAAATGCAAATTAAAACCACAATGAGATATCACCTCACACCAGTTAGGATGGCCACCATCCAAACGACTAAGAACAACAAATGCTGGTGAGGATGCAAAGAAAGGAGAACCTTCCTACACTGCTGGTGGAAATGTAAACTAGTTCAACCATTGTGGAAAGCAATATGGAGGTTCCTCACAAAACTAAAAATAGAAATACCATTTGACCTGGGAATTTCACTCCTAGGAATTTACCTAAAGAATACAAGTTCTCAGATTCAAAAAGACATATGCACCCCTATGTTTACTGCAGCATTATTTACAATAGCTAAGAAATGGACACAACCTAAATGTCCATCAGTAGATGAATGGATAAAGAAAATGATGGTACATATACACAATGGAGTATTTTTCAGCCGTAAGAAAAGAACAAATCCTACCATTTGCAACAACATGGATGGATCTAGAGGGTATAATGCTCAGTGAAAAAAGTCAGGCAGAGAAAGACAGCTACCAAATGATTTCCCTCATTTGTGAAGTATAACAACAAAGCAAAACTGAAAGAACAAAACAGTAGCAGACTCACAGACTCCAAGGGACTAGCAGTTACCAAAGGGGAGGGGAGGGAGGGTTAGGAGGTGGGGAGAAGGGATTGAGAGGTATTATGATTAGTACACATGGTGTGGGGGGGATTATGGGGAAGACAGTGTAGCACAGAGAAGACAAGTAGTGACTCTGTGGCATCTTACTACACTGAAGGACAGTGACTGCAATGGTGGATGGGGCGGGGGACTCCATAATATGAGTGAATGTAGTAACTACATTGTTTTTCATGTCAAACCTTCCTAAGAGTGTATATCAATACCTTATTTTTTTAATTGTAATAAAAAAGAAAAGAGTACTGCCTGGAGTTACTATCATTATTTACGTTACTTAATAAAGCAATGAACAGCCCATAGCGCCAGACCCTTAGCTACCCAGGTCATGTCTCTGCTGTCTAAGACCCACAACCCAAGCACTAACTCATCTAGATGAACTATTCAATCTTCACTCATGTCCTAGAGGCACAAACAAATAAGCAATAAAATAATTAAGATTTTTTTCTCACCTTAACTTCAGGAATTCTTTTTTCCTACTATAAAAGATCCACTGCAAAGTTTTAAAATTTAATCTTTTAAACATCAAGGCTTAGAAAATCTATGTGTTTAAAAATCAGGCTTAAGTTCAGCTTTGGAAGCAATGAGAGTACCATTCTATTAATATTTCTCCCTTGATATATAAAAAGAATAGAAAAGTTTATATAAATTAGTCAATTCTCAAATAAAGAATTAGAAATAGGCTATTAAATGGGAGTAAACTCTTCTACTCTTGACCCTTGAACCATCACCAAAGGGGCCAGCTCTCATCAGAAAAGTACATTTCAAATTAACTTTGGCTGAAGCCTGAAAAGGTTTCCCAAAGAGAATGAAATACAAGAGAGCAACAAACAGACCTGTGGTTTCAGATGCACAAACGCTTCTCCAAAAAGCACATCTATGTCAGGGCTCTTTGAGTCAATCAGCACCTGCAACTTCATCTGCCACATTGTCACAGAGCCTCTAAACAATTCAGTCCCAGCTACTGCCACCTCCAGGGCATCCTTAATGAAGTCATGACGCAGCAACAATTCAATCTAGGTAAAACGAAGGATCGTTGGAAAATTAACTATTGAAAGCTAAATTATCTACATAATGGGAACAAATAAAGACCTCATTTGAAAGCAGTAACTTTGGCAGCCTTTCCACTAAACCTTTCACCACAGCTGCCAAACAGGCACAAAATGAACAATTTGGAATTCCTCCTCCTTCCCTGATCCTACTCCCAAGGGCTATCAAAACACAGGAAAGAGGTAAAAAGTAGAGGGCTGAAGGAATTTAGATCAAATTTTAAGCTTTTAATAGAGTAGTTCACTATAATAAAACCCACACATACCAAACAATATAAAAATACTCTGTAGAGATAAAACCAGTATTTGTGGGGTGGTAAGGAAACACATTTAATGGAGTTTGGCACACTATACACTGGTGCAATCTTCCTGAACTATAATCACACAATGTAATATCAAGAAAGTGTTGTATCTTAAACTTGAGCACTTAAACAAATGTGACCCAATAAGTAAAAAAACAAAAGGGGAGGTGGAGAAAACCTAAAACCAATTCAATTACACAAATTGTGAAAAAGCATATAAATGGCAGTATATAATCCATGTATTCAGCATGCATTTTTATTGCACAGTACATATACTAAATTCAATAAAGAGGAAATCAAGGTACATTCTCTACCACCCACAGAGCCTACAATCTAGCAGTACAGACAGTTTGATATGTGCCCTAACAGAGAATCATATACTATAGAAATACAAAGCAGGAGCACCCAATCAGGTCTATGGCAGTAACGAGAAAGAACTTCCAAAAAGGAAGTACCATTTTATGCTAAGTTAAAGAAGAGCTGGGATCAGTCAGGTGAAAGCAGAGACCCACAGGAAAAGTGAAGTTTTTCCAACCAGAATGCACAAAAGGCTGAAGATGACAGGCGCTTTGGATACAAAAGGAAATCCAGTTCAGAACGGCTGGAGGGGTAGGTTGTATACTGGAGAACTGGCAGGGGAGGCTGGAAATACAGGCAGGAACCAGTTAAAGAGTCTGAGCAGCTTTATTCAAAGGACAGTGGGAAGCCACAGAATAATCTGATAACCAGTTTTAAAAGATCACCCTGTGAAAAATCATCTGAATTGAAAGGATAGATGTAGAAATCAGCTAAACGTTTTAAGTTTAGAAAGAATATGTTCAGGGACTCTCATTAAAGGCAGGATTACCAAACTGAGTGATGAGGTGGTAGGCTTAGAAAGGGCAGTACTGGAGATTTGGGGAGCAGAGGATGTTTGGAAAAACTAGAGTGGTGAATGGCAAAACAGGCAATAATGGAAAGAGAGCAGGATAGGCGCGGCAATACTCAGAGCATAGCCCATCTGTAATACAGGATGTGACCGTCTTGCAGCATTCATTGGATCAAACGGGCAGCAGAACTCATCCAGGCCTGGGAATTCTTCCCAGATAGATTCTCCAATGGGAGAAGGGTACCTCTGTTGTGATATAAAGCAATAGGCTAGTAATGGGGGCCAAATAAAGACCTCATACAGTACAGCTGATGGTTCAACAACACAGGTTTAAGCTTCATGGGTCCACTTACACAGTAAGTGAATTTTTTTCAATAAATACATTGTAAAAATTTGGGAGAGATATGTGACTTGAAAAAACATTTTCTCTAGCTTACTTTTTTAAGAATAGAGTATATAATACATATACAAAATGTGTGTTAAATCAACTGTTTATGTTACCAGTGAGGCTTCTTGTCAACAGTAAGCTACCAGTAGTTAGTTTTGAGGGAATCAAAAGTTATACATGGATTTTCAGCTGCACGAGGGATCAGCGCCCCAACCCTCGTGTAGTTCACTGGTATATGCATTATGCAGATATATGTAAGTATCATTAAAAAATTTTTAATATAAAACAGAATACAAAATAGCTAAACATCAGTTGCAATTATGTAAAAACTGCATAATGGTATGAAACATGAGGCAGGAGTTAAATAAAAGGCACTTGACAAATACAAAGATTTTTGTCCTTTTTTCCCTGTGAAGGTACTTAAATACATTAACTTGTTCACCATCTCATGTAATGCTCTCAACAACTTTTGTGGTGTCAAAAACAAGAATCACTGCCACTATTCTCAAATCAAGTTAACAAACTCAGAAGATTAAGTGGTTTGCCTTCAGTCACCTGGATATTAAGTGGCAAAACCCAATTTAGAACTACGTATACCCAACAACTCGTTATTCTGGTCCATAATAATCTTTACTCGCCCCAGACAGTAGGGCAGAGTTAATATGTCTCTTACTAGAATGTCAGCTTCAGAAACACAGGAACATATCTGTTTTAATTGTACTGGTAGTTAATCTGAGCCAAGCATCTATGTTCAGGAAAAGATGGATGGGTGGATAAACAAAATAAACCCAAATTGTAACTCCTTGTTCTGAGTGTTTTCTATTATGTAACCTTCCTTCCTTTACTGGTACAGATTTCATTTTTGGTATACACCGAATACTGAGAGCCAAATGTAAATACTCTCTACCATAGCAACTACCACAGGGGCTTAGTCATATAACTATATATGTGTATATTTTATAATATATATAGATAGATATATTATATAAACACATAACACCAGCACAAACCATCTGGAATTAAGTACATGAAATTGGCAGTGAATGTGTTCTCCACGTCCTTACCCACTGCTTGTACTGGAATTCTGGTAGAAGTCTGAATTCATGTGCCTTCCTGAAGGCAACCATGGTTCTTTCCAGCCTCTGAAATCAGAAAATCCCTCAGTTCAATACAAAGATACCAGCAGGAGTCTTTGGCCTCTAGAAACCAAAGCAGTTTTGCACATTTCTGAAAAGTGAGAGAAGGGACTGAGTTGGTTTCCCTCATGGTTAGATGAGTTAAGCAGCTGCAATGAGCACAGCCCAGGTCCACAGCACTCCTAACGTGGTAGCTGCTAGAAGTCAAAGCAGACTAGGCCTTCAGAATGACAGGTCACTCACAAGGGGAAAGAGCAGTTAAACCTAAGTTCTTGGAAGCTGTGCTAGACCCCAGAAAAGCTATCATCTATTCTTTCAGAAGACAGTAGATTACTAGTCAGCCATTATAAAGATGTAACTTAGTCCTTACCTTCTCTCTAAGGAACTGACTATTTGTCTTCTTAGTAAACCTTTCTAAGCAAAAGTTGATGTAACATTTCCACATCGCCTCTGTAAAAGTCAGAAAGATTGCTCTGATCAGATCACCTATTCTCCTAGTTTCATAATTATCATATCCCTTTTCTTTGAAGAGGAAAACAGTTGAAACTAGTCTGGTGAAAAACAATGGTTATTCTGATTATGACCAAATAAACACTTCAGATTTCAGGAGAAAAAACAACTAAGTAAAGACACAAATACAAAAATTAAAAAGGCTTATCCATGTCATATATCCCCTCTACCTTAATACTCCAATATTTAAAAATTTTAAAGTAAATCTATATCAAAAGATAATTAAGGAATGATAATTGATCTTCTGAATTATCACTTTCCAAGTATCATTTCCCCCAAATGAATGAAGATAAATACCACTACTATTAAAGAAGATCATAAAAGCTCCATCTTTCACAACCAGAGAAAGAACAAATTGGAAAGCCAGGCCCACTGTCAACCATCAGAGAGAGACTCCTGAAATCAGTTTTGGTAATGGGAATAGGATCTTGAGCTTCTCATTCCTTAATACTACGACTTCTCCACAACACCATGGTTTGGTGAAGTTCACCTGTAGGAAGAGTCTTTACTGCCTCTTCATACACAGCACAGCACCTGTCCTCCTTCCGGCCCACCTCCACTGCTCTGGCTTGTTTTGTTGCAGGCTGTTCTGGTTGTGACTCAATCTCTAATTCTCGTCGTGCCACATAATCCCAAGTGAGAGGGTCATCTGTGTGCAGAGCCTGAAGGCTGAAAATTACAGTTTATTGCCATCAACCTTATGACACGAGACTAATTCAGGATATCAAACAGTCAGTTCCCTATGCTCTAAAAGTGTACCCAGGATACGTCTTAAACAATTCCAGTACCACAGAGCCATTTGCCCACCAGGCTCTCTAGGTATCTTCACACTCATTGTATAAATTCTGTCAATGGATCAGAGTTGTCACACATTTATTAGATTTCAGAATGTTTCAGACATCATTCACAAATGTTACCTTCAAGTTAGCTCTATTTTAGCTCCTGTGAAGGGGCACTGAGAGTGAAGTATCCACAAGACAGGCTGCAGATAGCACTATTTACAATACCTAAGATACAGAAGCAACCTAAGTGTCCATCAGTAGATGAATGGATAAAGAAGATGTCATACATATACACAATGGAACATTATTCAGCCTTACGAAAACAAATCCTACCACTTGCAACAACATGGATGGACTTAAGGAGGATATTATGATCAGTGAAATAAGCCAGGCAGCGAAAGACAAATACAAAATTAATTCACTCATTTGTAGAGTGTAACAACAAAGCAAAACTGAAGGAACAAAACAGCAGCAGACTCACAGACTCCAGGAAGGGACTAGCAGTTACCAAAGGGGAGGTGTTGGGAAGTGAGGGTGGGGAGGGAGGGAGAAGGGGATTAAAGAGGCATTATGATTAGCACACATAATGTAGGGGGGTCACAGGGAAGGCAGTATAGCACAGAGAAGACAAGTAGTGACTCTATAGCATCTTACTATGCTGATGGACAGTGACTGCAATGGGGTGTGGGAGGGACTTGATAATATGGGTGAATGTTGAAACCATAATGTTGCTCATGTGAAACCTTCATAAGATTGTATATCGATGATACCTTAATTAGAAAAAAAGGCTGCAAATGATTCCCAAACCACATAATCAGACATTAAAGAATAAAACTAAAATTACATGCAGCACTCAACTATGAACAGTCATGAGTACAACTCTCATTTTGGGGACAAATGACATATCAGCAGAGCAGAAATATAGACTTTCATATATATAAACTATAGGATAAATTTGTTGTGGAATAAAGGCAAACTAATTACAAGGAAAGCCAATAAGTGAGCCAAACTTCTTCAAAAACATATTTATTCATATGATTTACTATGATACAATGGTTCTAAAACTTAGCTTTCCTCGAAGGATTTCATGTGGCACCTTCTTTCCCTTTCCAAATATCCAACCTCAATCCCTTACCGTAAGATCAGAAATAGATATATTCACCTTTCCTCTTTTTACTTACTCATCATAAATTTCTCTTTGCAAATCTTTGGCAAAATCGAACAGCTGTGCAATTGAAAGCAGTGACACATGAAATTCTGCACCTGAAATTGAAAGAGGGGAAAGGAGAATAAGACTCTTAGGTGTCACTTTACAAGTGCCACTTGCTCAATGTACTGGAGGTAGTGCTTTTGTTTTTCTTTAATTGAGAAGTAGAACAAAACAGAAAAAAAAGATCACCCATAGTACATTTCAAAGCTAAGCCATTGTTAATATTTTGGAGTATTCACTGAGTACTTCTAGCTTCTACTTTAAATTAAGGGCATGAAGGAATGTACTAATCAGTTTCTTTTCAAATCCCCTCATGAATTAAGTATTCAATAAAAACTTATGAAATGTTCAAGTATATCCTAAGGGGCAATTAGCCTTTGCTGAGAGAAACAGAACACTATTCTTACAATCAGTTTTGTACACATTCTAACAATTTCTAACAGAAATTTTCAAACGTAGCTGAAGGTTTTCCCTATAAGTAGAATGTTTCACTTTCCCATTAAAAATCAATTCTCAAAAGATACCTACCTTTAATTATGCTTACAGAATTTTTGTAGATGATCCGTGCTAACTCACCCTTGAGGATTTCTTCAGAGTAATCAAGGTTCCCCTAAAGAGTGTTATATTAAACAAAACAGGTAGTGCCAGTAAGTAGAAAAAGCACTAGAATAGAAATTAACACTCCTAGACTACCTGTGCCATATGACCCCTGGCAAATCATGTCTCTCTACGGGCCAGATCTCTCACTTGTAAAATATGCAGCTTGAACAAGACCACTGATTTTCCAACTGTGTTCTCTCAGGCTCCTGGAGTGGGAGCAAGATCACATGGCTTAAGGCCTCATTCGCCATTCAGATCAGAATAGGTCAACTATTACATGTTTCGTTTACCCTTCCACATAAGATTTTACTTGGATGAAAAAGTTTAGAGCTGAAAACCACAATAACAGATGATAAAAAATTTCCCTTTTCAGCTCTAAACTCTAAAATGTCTTTAATGTTACTCTGTCACATAAAAAAATTACAGGAAAAGGAAAGAGAAAGAAACCACACATTTCACAACTTTACTCAAGCTCCTTGAACCCATTAATGTGTAATTTAATGAAATCATAAAGTATTAAAGAACAGCATTTGGTCATTCCATCAGTAATAATTTTGAGGACCACTTCAATTAGTCCAAATGTCTATTTTTAAAGCACAAAATTTTGTTTGTTTGTATGCAACTGACTTTTACCTGTATGTACATTTGTAATGTAAGCCCATTTAATTATATCACCTCTGGACTCATCTTAAAGTTTCAAAATAGGACCTTAAATACATTAAAAATACATCCCAAAGACTTTTCCCACTCCCAGCAGGCTCAAAACACTATACATTATTAACAAGTGACAACATATTAAGATCTTACCACATCCATTTTGGCTTTTTCAAATTCTTGTTTTTCCTTCCTCAATTTCTCAGCATTCATCAGCTCCATCCTAAAGTACTACAGAAGGGAAATATCTTAAAATCTTTGGAGATAATTTTTAAAAACAGAAATACATAGATACCATATTTTACCCATAAATATTGGTTCTGGGAAAGTTTGAGGTGAGTTTTATTTTTGTATTTAAGTATAGTAGATAAACAATCTTATATTACTTTCAAGTATATATAACCACTGTTCACCAGTTACTCACATTACGTCCTTCCTCCAACTATCTGTTATTATCTGTCAACATAGGAAGATATTACAAAATCACTGCTATATTCTCCATGCTGTACCACCATCATATTTTATTTTGTTATGAAACTAGCTGACACTGACAAGGAGGGAGATCTCTGTGGTCATGAACAGCTCTGTATTTTGACTGTGATGGTAGTTACACAAATCTACACTTGTGTAATAAATGACACAGAACTATATGCACAATTACACCAATGTCAATTTCCTGATTTTAATATTAACTATAATTTTATAAAACCTAACCATCAGGGGAACAGGAGAATGAATAAATGGTACACAGGACCTCACTGTACTATCTTAGTAACTTCCTGTAAATCTGTAATTATTTCAAAATAAAATCAATGGCAAATATGTAGTATCAAGCTGTAGGAAAAGAAACTAAAGAATGACTAATATATACTATAAAGTGGGACTTAATCAATTTTTCATTTTTAATACTTTGAATTCTATGTTACATGAAAATGACAAGTTAAAAACAATGTTTATACCCTTTATTAACCCAATAATCCTGCTCCTAGGAATCTATTATAAGGAAATAATCTTAAATACCTAAAAGTTTCATACACAAAGGTATAGAAGCAAATACTAGAAACAATCTAAGTATCCAACAATAGAAAAAGTGAAATAGATTACAAAAGCATCAGACTAATCTAGCCATAAAATACTTAAAATAATTTAGTAATAGTACACTATAATTCTAATGTTATTCTACCTTGTTTTTAAAGCTGGCTACAAAATTTTATATATAGTAACACAATTACCACTACGTGAAAAATGTGCACAGAAAAAAAAGAAATGCACATATTGTTAACATTTGTCTTTAAACTTATTTTTCTGTGCTTTTGCTTTTCTCATTTTCTCGCCAAGATTTTCCATAAATAATGTTTCTTTAATAGTATAAAATAAAAAATAATCCTTATTTTTTTTTAAATGCAACTACTAAAACAAATAATGTACATCAGAGGTTCTGCAAGAGTGACTTGTATATACCTGGGGGTTCCTAGCACCCTTTCAGAGGGTCTGCAAGGTCAAATTTTCATAATAATACTAATGTTATTTGCCTTTTTTGCTTTTTTTCAGAGGCTACATGATAGGTGCTGTCACTCAGACTGAATGCAGAAGTAGATGTGAGAATCCAGCTTTTATTAAGTCAGGTATTTGAGAAATTAGCAAAAATGTGAAATAACACCATTCTTCTCTTTAAACTGAGTTTAATCAAAAAAGAACAAGTGGGACTAATCAAATTTAAAAGCTTCTGTACAGCAAAGCACACCACCAGCAGAACAAAAAGGCAGCCTACAGTATGGGAGAACATATTCATAAACAATTTACCTGATAAAGGGTTAACATCCAAAATATATGAAGAACTCATATTCCTCAACACCAGAAAAACAAACAACCCAATTAAAAAATGGGTGGGAGGACCTGAACAGACTTTTTTCCAAAGAAATACAGATGGTCAATAGGCACGTGAAAAGATGTTCCACACTGCTAATCATCAGAGAAATGCAAATCAAAACCACAATGAGCTATCACCTCACACCAGTCAGAATGGCCACCATCCAAAAGATAAGAAAGAATAAGTGCTGGCGAGAAAGTGGAGAAAAAGGAACCCTCCTACACTATTGGTGGGAATGTCACCTGGTACAGTCACCGGGGAAAGCTGTATGGAAGCTCCTCAAAAAGCTAAAATAGAAATAAAATCTGACCCAGTAATTCCATTTCTAGGAATTTACCCCAAATGAAACAAAATCCCTGATTTGAAAAGACACATGCACTTCTATGTTTACTGACACATTATTTACAATAGGCAAGATATGCAAGCAACCTAAGTGCTCATCAACAGATGAATGAAGATGTGGTACATATACACAATGGAATATTATTCAGCCGTAAAAAAAATACTGCCATTTCTGACAACATGGATGGATCTAGAGGGTATTATGCTAAGTGAAATAAGGTAGGTGGAGAAAGACAAATACCATATGATTTCACTTACTTGTGGAATACAAAAACAAAACAAAATGAACAAAACATCAGCAGACTCATAGACACTGAGAAGTGACTAGAGGTTACATGGGGGAGGATTTGGAGTGGGTGCAGGGGAAGGGGAATAAAGGGGCCAAAAATTCTCAATCATAATATAAGTTGGTCATGGGGATAGTAGTACAGCATAGAGAATATAGTCAATGATTCTGTAAGATCTTTGCATGCTGACAGAGAGTAACTGCACTAGAGGGGGTGAGGACTTAATATGGGTTAACTGCTGAACCACTGTGCTATATACTTGAAACCAGTTGTTATCAACGATACTTCGATAAAAAGAAGGAATCTGTACTAACATGTAGTGGGTTTATTTTTAAATGAATAGTTTTAGATTTCTCAGTTTTAATTTTCAGTACAATAAAAACTGATAGATACAACCCATACATACAAAAGATCTTAGGGGTCCTTAGTAATTTAAGATTGTAAAAGGGTCTTAAGACCAAAAAGTCTGAGTAGCACCAATATAGATCAATATATTACTATATAAGTTGGTCATGGGGATAGTAGTACAGCATAGAGAATATAGTCAATGATTCTGTAAGATCTTTGCATGCTGACAGAGAGTAACTGCACTAGAGGGGGTGAGGACTTAATATGGGTAACTGCTGAACCACTGTGCTATATACTTGAAACCAGTTGTTATCAACGATACTTCGATAAAAAGAAGGAATCTGTACTAACATGTAGTGGGTTTATTTTTAAATGAATAGTTTTAGATTTCTCAGTTTTAATTTTCAGTACAATAAAAACTGATAGATACAACCCATACATACAAAAGATCTTAGGGGTCCTTAGTAATTTAAGATTGTAAAAGGGTCTTAAGACCAAAAAGTCTGAGTAGCACCAATATAGATCAATATATTACTAATGTGGAACTATGGCCATAATGTATTGGGTAAAAATAACAGAACACCAGACAATGTAGTAGAATCCCACTTTTCAGAAAAATCTGTTTTAAATATCTGTAATATGAATGAAAGTATGGGTGTAAGATTATGAGTACTTTCTCTATTTTTTTTCATAAAACTGTTTTCTCTGAATTATTTATAATAAACTCTAGTTTTGGTAAGAACAAGTAATAAATCTATTTCCATCTTGGGAAATACAAGAATGGGCATTTACGAAAGCCTCCAAAAACACATAAATATCACCACTATATAATACTCATCTTAACAGGGAGGATTGTTACAACAGTTTCTCAATAAAATAAAGGCAGCAAAGAGATGCCTAACAGAATATGAGAAGGATATGGATGCAAGACTATAACATCAAACACCATTTAATTACTACAACACAAAAAATACAGTTGGAACACCTACAAAACCTCTTAGCATGGAGACCCATATCTTTTTCCCCTCATCACACAAGGCTTAATTTTCATTTGATTTTTCATTTAAACAGTTTCTCCCTATCTGGACAAATACTCAGAAAAGGTTGCAGTTTCTAAAAATAAACCATTTTTAGCATTTGTTGTTTTTTGATCAAAAGTATAGCCATCATCATTCTAGTGTACCGCTCCAAGAAGGAATAAGTGCACCAAGCACAGAAGGAAGCATCTATGTCAAGAGGAAGAGACAAGAAAAAAGAGGAAGAAAAGAGAAAAAAGCAGAAAGAGGTGGCAGGAGGGGAGAGAGGCAGGAGGAGTGAGAAATGTAAGAAAAAAAATAAGGACAAAGGTATAAAGATGGCTGAACCCTCAACCACAAACTGGAAAAGAGTAACGTCCAGTTCCCTGTTCCTCCCAACCGTAACAAGCAGGTAGGAGTTCTAATCTTTCACTAACAACCTGAAGATGCACAGTCAATACCTACTATTGGCCAAGAAAAAGCCTCCCAGGCCCCTTTCCACAGCAGCAGCCCTTACTTATTCCTAACCTGTCTTTTTTAATTTAATAAAAAATATATGTGTACAAGCAACTAAACTGAGACATCATTCATCCGTCTTACGTGCACACACACTCACTTCCTGATAAAGTTTTGGACACTCCGGATGAAAGCGCAATGCTCGAAGAAATAGTTGTCTTGCACTTTCTGAAGACAAGCGATCTTCCATTTCCCATTTGGCCGCCATAATCCACAAAGCTATCAATGAAAAACATCAAACTTCATGTCTATAAACTAATCAAACCAGGCAAAAAAAAAAAAGACCAATGCTCCAATCTTAATACTCAAATAATTTTTTTTAATCTTACTAAAAGAGAAGGGGATGGAGAGAGGGAGTCCCTAATGGTTATCTGTACTGTTGTTTTATGTAAAGTTTAAAAGTATCCTGAAGCAAATGGGTAAATGTTTAAATCTATGGATACTTATGTGCCTGTTACTACATTTCATCAAATCTAAGGTCAACATCACTATAGGTCATATACAAATTTTAAATGTGTTAAAATGCTGGAAGAAGTTGTTAGAATCTTGGAATCAATGAAATGAAATTATTTTGTTCTCTTCTCTGTATTTAAAATAGTTCACAATTTCTTAAATGGCTCATTTATTTTTAAAATTAGATTTCTTATACCTGCTTAGGAATAAAGCCTTAAAAAGAAAAACCTTTATCCCTCTACATAGGAAATTTGACTTAAGGTAAAATTCTAGCTATTTCCCTAGAGACTTAATAAAGGTCAGCTAGACTGCTTTTGGTAACCACATCTAGACTAGGAGTGCTGTGAATGGTAGAGAGCCATTGCTTTGGGCTTTCTTAAACATGCGATTCCTGAAATTAAGCACCGTTCTTTCTAGGATCCCTAGTAGCTATGCCCATCAATGGGTCTTCTAGGCCAGAGTGGCAGCTTTATCCACTCAGGTGGTCTCATCCCTTCATACCTGAACTGTCACCTTGGGGACAAGAGACCAGACTCTGAGTTGCTAAGAATACCCTACTGAAGATACTCCTTGCTGTCCTGCTGTATCCTTCTGAATAAGTTGGTGCCAAATTGGCCTATTTGAGTCTTGTGTAATGTACAATGTCTAGCTGAATCTAATACTTGAGAATAGGCATGGGAGCACTGCCACTATAAAATAATGTACCATTCACACAGTACTCTCAGGCGAAGTCCCTTATAAAACATGAGTGCCAGTCACACTTGTAAAATCTGTATTAATAGTTCCCTTTTTAAGCTTACAAAATCCCTTAAATTTGACTGGAGCCAAGCACAATGCCCCCAAAGGCCTAGAGTTTCTTTTATCATCAACTAGAAAGGAATGTAGTCCTTCTTGCCCACAGGTACAATACCAGACACAGTAACTAGAGCACCACAGGCAGGGAGGAACTAAGAGGCAGCTATTCTGGAAGCTGTTCAGGCTATGTGCCTACCCACAGGTTCTCAAAAAAATAGCTCTTAGGTTTATCAAGCAAAATAAATTCTAAAATAGCTTGAGTCTACATAAAAGGTAGAAAAAGAACTGACAAGGATTTCATCATACCTGGCTTGTTTGAATGAATGGCCAACATGGCAGAGAATACCTTGCTAAGTTGAGCTTTGGCAGCCTGTAAGAGAGGAAGAAAAATTTCTACTTCCTACATGCTGAAATCATTGTTATTAATCTCTAAGTGAGCTGTAATGTACCCTAACCAACTGTACAATCCAATGGAGCAAGATCTGCTATTGCTAGGGACATATAAACAAATGTAGACAGACACATTCCTAGTTTTATTTTACCTAAACGACTATTCATAAACATCTAAAAACAATTTTTCAACTTTACTGAATTCAATTTTACAAATACAAAGAAAGTTCATTTTCTTTTCAACTGACTTGGAAGCATTATACAGTCATTCAGATACGCAAATGCTGTTACACTGAAATTCAACCTTCTTGGGTTTTCTCCCATTTGTTGACCCTATGCCTCTAGAGAACATAAGAAGTTCAGTAATCAAGTAAGGAGTTTACAGGGCAGACTAACCAAGAGAAGGAAAAGAGGGAGCAAGAAAAAGCTGCCCAGTACTCACCCATTTCTTACAAAAAACTACGTAGGAGAGCCAAAGTTGAACATCATCCTACAAGAGAAGCAATGGAGTTAGCTGCTTGAATTTGAACTTTATATAGAATATACCATTGCATTAATTAACTTTGTGACAAAGAGAGGCAGGTTACAGGAAATCCACTGTATTACCACATGGTTCCGCCTAATAGGTTCCTCCTCCAAAGGCCTCAGAATTCTCAACCATGGTAATCCAATCTGTCCCCACTCCCACCTAGCATGCCCCAAGATAAAACGTGTTGTCTATCCAATTTGTTCAATGCAATTCTTGAACGGTCTCAATCAGGGACAGCAACCCAGAATTTGTCATTCCCAGGTATCCAAAGTACTTCACATATAGTATGTTTAGTCCCAGAGCCAGACTTGAAAAAAAGCAAGTTACTGAGGTGCTGCCTCCTCTAACCATTTATCTTCCACCTCCAAGTTTTCAGGGTACTTAGAAATATAGCCAAACAAATACCAGACAATTTTCTGATCCTTCATGCATTAAATCAAATGCATTGTTTTTAGTACCATCCTCACAGAGTAACTATAGGTAATAAAATCAATTTCTTAATGATTAGGTGGTTTCACATAATGATACCATCACTAGAATAAAAATTGAGACACTCAAGAATAGATGATATATTTGAATATCAAAATCATAGCATGTGTAATACATATCTTCACATCTTACAGTTAAGGCTGGTCTGATCACTTACTTTCCACTTTGCTGAAGCACGTCGGAAGACACCCTGTACCCGGTGGACAATAGAATTCTCAATCTCATCCTTCTTAAATGAATAACCAATGCGCTAAGAAGAGAAATGAAAAAACAAAGCCTCAGTTTAATCACATTCATCCAAGCAGCATTCCTATTTGATCACTAAACAGTACTGAAAAAGCAAATAATTACAAATAACCATTATGAGCATATCACCACATAATTTATTAATGCCAACTGCTTCCCAAACCCAAGTTCTAGCTACAGAGCCATACTACTTAATTCTAAATTGCTCCAACTTCCAGAAAATCATCTACTTACAGTTCTTCTTCTCTGGATCAGCTCCAAAAGATTAATCTCATACTATGGAAGAAAATAAACCAAAAAAAAAAAAAAAAAGGCAAGAAAATTATAACCTTTTAAGTGCAGGAAATGCATTTAGCTAAACTAAAAATGTAAATAAAAATCAGGAATATATAACAAGATAATGTGCTATCAAAAAGTATAATTTGCAGTAACTGTCTAGCATTCATTGAAAATTCATATATCTGCAAAACTCGCATACATACATCAGTAAGCATATAAACATCTTAGATACACAGCATGTTATTAAAACCATAGGCTTGAAAAATTTATAGTATCAATCTAACTTTCTAGTTCACAACACTGCATTCAAACTTATAGTGAATTTTCAAAAATTTTAGCTTATGCAAAAGCAAATAGAGCAGATACAGAGTTCTACTAGATGAAATAGGTTGCCTAATTGGCCCTCCCATGCTTTCCCTCCCCTCTAACGGACCACTTAGAACCTTTAAAGCTCTCTAAAAATCACTACTATACATTTTGTCTCTACGCTCAGCTTGAAAATTATCAAAAGACAGAAAGCTCACAACCTCACAAGATTGCATTCTTCATTTTAAAACTGCTTTATGAAATATTTCAAGCTCACAGAACACCCATGCAGCTACCAGAGCACTACATCAAAGCCTACATTTTACTATATTTACTTCAAATCTTTTTTAGAAATTAAACATTTCAAATAAAGGTGAAGCCCCTATATACCATGTCTAATTCTACTCTTCTCCCTCCCCAGAGGAAATGAATATCTTAACTGTTGTTTATCCTTCCCAAGAATGACTTTGGAATTTATTGTAATGCTGTCTTGAATGCTTTTAAACTTTATATAAATAGTATCACATTGCACCCATCACACCATACTTTTATTCAACACTATGATTTTAGACATCTGCCTCTTACATATAAAATTCAAGTCTATTCATTTTTTTTATATCATTAATCTACAATTACATGAGGAACATTATGTTTACTAGGTTCCCCCCATCACCAAGTCCCCCCTACAAACCCCTTTACAGTCACTGTCCATCAGCATAGTAAGATGCTGTAGAATCACTACTTGTCTTCTCTGTGTTGCACAGCCCTCCCCGTGCCCCCCCATGATACATGCTAATCATAATGCCCCCTTTCTTCCCCCCCCTTATCCCTCCCTACCCATCCTCCCCAGTCCCTTTCAAGCCTATTCATTTTTTTTTTGAGAGGGCATCTCTCATATTTATTGATCAAATGGTTGTTAACAACAATAAAATTCTGTATAGGGGAGTCAATGCTCAATGCACAATCATTAATCCACCCCAAGCCTAATTCTCGTCAGTCTCCAATCTTCTGAAGCATAACGAACAAGTTCTTACATGGTGAACGAATTCTTACATAGTGAATAAATTCTTACATGGTGAACAGTACAAGGGCAGTCATCACAGAAACTTTCGGTTTTGATCATGCATTATGACCTATAAACAATCAGGTCAAATATGAATATTCGTTTGATTTTTGTACTTGATTTATATGTTGATCCCACATTTCTCCTATTATTATTATTATTTTTATTTTTAATAAAATGCTGAAGTGGTAGGTAGATGCAAGATAAAGGTAGAAAACATAGTTTAGTGCTGTAAGAAGGCAAATGTAGATGATCAGATGATCAGGTGTGTGCCTATGGACTAAGTATTAATCCAGGCTAGACAAGGGCAGCAAGACATCCACGGATGCAGAAGATTTCTCTCAAAGCAGGGGGGGTGAGGTTCTGAGCCTCACCTCTGTTGATCCCCAAATTCTCACCTGATGGCCCCCCTGCGACTGTGCCTGTCTTAGGTTGTTCCTCCCTTGAGGAATCTTACCCGTCTCTGGCTAACCAGTCATCTTCCGGGGCCATACAGGGAAATGTAAAGTTGGTAAGTGAGAGAGAAGCCATATTGTTTGCAAAGGTTAGCTTTTTACTTCTTTGCAGATTTATGCCCTGTGGCTTCTATGCCCAGCACTTGTCTCGAGGTATCTTTACCACCTGGAGGAATTATGATACTCGGTAAATTCGATATGAGGCACGAATTCTATTTAAGGGTTGTAATTAGGAAGGAAGAAGAAAAGCTATAGATGTAGCATATGAAGGAAACTTGGGAGGATTGATTATTTCTTTGACATATCTTCTTGTATAGTACCTTAAGTATGTATAGGTTTTAAACTACTAACTAATTTGCACACACATATTAACATAATAGGAATACGGTGACATAAACAAAGCAAATCTATAATTACCAGCCATCTCCAGTGAAGCCAAGAAAACCATTTAGGCACCCTAGGCATTTGTGAAAATTTATCTATGATATGATGGATATTTTCCAACTGTACTTGAACCATCAGACAAATTAAAGCAGCCCATTTCTGGGATCTGTTCACATCCCATATGTTCTTTTAACCATAGATAGTCTATAGTCATGAGATTTTGGGGTGCTACAACTTGCACCCCTCCCAACTCCTGGTTGAGTTCCAACAGTACAGATCCAGTCAAATTCGTTGTCTCACTGTATGCACATGCCAGCCTAGACATCTCCCTCCTCCTTCTTATGGCAAGTCCAGGAGACGGTGGGCTGGATGCAGCCACAACCGCAGCATCGTCTGGATCCCTGTGGAGGCTTTTTGATGATCATCCCCCGGCACAAGTCCTCCAGAGAGTGCTGATGCCGGAAGCTCCTCCTCATATCGTATCTTAGTTCATTTTCTGGGTATCCAAGCTAAAGCCTATTCATTTTTAACACTGTTTGCAATGCCCTCCACTCAAACAAATTTACCCAACACTCTACTTCTGGTAATGTAGTTAATTAGGTTATATTTTTGACATAACACATTTTAGTTAGCAATTTACTATGAGCCCTTGGTCTCCTTCCAAATACAAGATTCTTAAGTAGGTCTCACATATTGTTTGTTTATATATTTTTTAATGATGCTGTTATTTTTGTTTTTTAAATCTAATTAGTTCAGAACCTTTAGTCTTGTAATATTTCATCTTGTTATTGGGTTCTTTCTGAATCTGATTTTGCCATCCAACATATCAGCTGTTCTCCCCATTTGAAAACTGGTCTAGCATGTACATCTTTTCTTCACTCTTATCTTCCACTCGTTTACAGGATAGAAGAACCTTAAAGCATATCTCTACGTAGACACAAAAGTCTATACTATCCTCAGCCTCACTCTCCTTCATCTTTACCATATGAGATGGACTACCAAACCTCTTGCTGAAATCCTGATACACTGTGTCTCTGGCAGTCTCTGATTTACTACAGAGTTTCTGATTAACTATTATAGAAGGAAAAAAAAGTTTGCCAAGGACTAAAGCCTATGGAGCAATGCTCTTCCCAAATCACCTCTATTCCTATTCAAAAATTATCTAATCATCAGTTCTAGAATTTGTACAAAATTGACATCAAGCTCACCATTCTATAAGTGACTTAAAGTTTGTGAGGGGAATTACTCACTTGAACATAATTGATAAAGTCTTCCTTAAAAAGAGTTCTTCTCTGTATTCTGTATTCTAGATCTGAAGCCTTCTTAATGACAGCCCTGAGGAGAAAGTCATTTAAAATCAAACACTTGAAAAGAGCAAAAGCTAAGTAACTTTGGGGTTTTTTAAATTTCTTTACTTTTAATATATTTAAAACATGTATTTACCAAAAAATGTTAATTCCTAAAAATTATCTATAAGCAAGTAGTCTCTTACATGATTACTTCTGTGTTCTTAAGGGGTCAGGATGAATTTTACAACTTTCAGGACAATCATCTCAATCAACTGGTTGGACCATTAACATTCCCAGCAGCAAAGCAAATAATGGTAAGTACTTATATAATTTATATGTGGTACTGGTAAAGATTTCTTTTCCTCCAAATTCAAGTCACTTGGGTTTCAATAATAAGCAAGTCTCTTTCAATTCCTCTAAGTTTTCAATAGGCAGATTAAAAAAAAAATCCCAGACTGTCTCTACCTAGAAGGGTTTATTATTACTTCAAAGACCTAAGATTCACTGTATTTAGCTAAGGAGTGAACACACATGTATATATTAGGAGAATTTAATGCAAGATGTTTAAGACCAGTAATTGTCTGTACTTAGCAGTAACAATATTTACCTAGCATTTTATTAAGAGCCCACACCTCTAATGTAGCATCTCATTAACTGTTTACTTTGAGGTACCCATAGTCACATTACTACATCCAGCCACTATAAAATGAAGAAAGTCACAGAAAATCAGTAAAACTATTAAACTTGATTTTAACCAATTACTCAATGACAACTATGTGCCAGAGGTAAGCCCTGGGGTAGAATCCGAAATTGAATTAAACAGTCTCTGTCAACTCCTGTGAGAAAGATTTATCTACTACCACAGCAATCTGTTCACATCTCTAACACAGCATATTCTACTACAGTTGCCCCTTGAACCACACGGGTTTGAACTAGGAAAGTCCACTTACATATGGATTTTTTTCAATAAAATATTGTAAAAATTTTTGGAGACATTTGCAAGACAATTCAGAAAACATTTTCTTTTCTCTCGCTTACTTTATTGTAAAACTGCAGTATATAATACCTACACAAAATAGATGTTAATCGACTGTTTAAGTTATCCATAAGGCTTCAGGTCAACAGAAGGCTATACATTTTGGGGGAATCGTAAGTTAACATGATTTTTGACTTGGGCCTGGGGGGTTGGGGCAGAGCCCCTAACTCCTGCATTGTTCAATGATCAACTGCACAATCAACTTCAGTACACCCGCATTGTAATCAAAATGTCTCATTTGTCCCCTCCAACATAACACAGGGCAGTTAGCCTGATCCTGGTTTTATCATCTGTACAGCCCCAAGACCTGGCTCCATGAAGAGGTCAGTACGTTTGCTGAGCAAGTAGGCTGATCACTTTGCAACGAATGAGAAATTAATTCTAGGCATTATCAAAATCTGGAAAGGGCCTTTTGCCATGTTAGGAAAAACAAACACAACTCAGGGGCCCCCGTACCGTCCCCCTTCACACACGCCCCAACCTCCTCTCAGCCCGCCCCAGCTCCTCCCCAGCTCTCACTTAATCTCCGCATGACTGAACAGGCCAATGCGCTCCAGCTGCTCCAATTCCGGGAGTCGATCTTCTATGCGCTCCTGAATTATCTCCGCCATGAGGACCGAACCCTAACAAGCCGACAGCCTCCGAACCTCAGCCCACACGCGCAGAAAGAACCCTCCTTCTACCCTGGGGATTCGACCCTGTGGCTCTCGCGTGCTGACGTAATGCGCGCACGGAGTCCGGCCTCTTCCGCTTCCGCCGCCTCCGCCGCCGGAGAAGACCCCTCTGGCCCTTGCGGCCGCGGTCACCTCCCTGTGGCTGACTGTGGTGTTGCAGCGAGGACCCCGCCCTCTCAGGAGGACTCACGTGGGCAAGAGCGGAGGGGTGGGGCTAAGTGCGCGAGGCTGGACGTGGGCGGGGGTCGGAAAAAGCGCTTCTGGGTCTGGAGGGGGTTACCTGAAGGAGGTGAAGTGTGTTTTTTGCAGGATGCTGTCTTTGTTTATTCTGTTGCCATCCCGCGTCCTAGCTTTCCGACACCACCAACAAAAAGAAAACAAAAGGGGAAAGATAATAGAGGATATCGTGTAATTATTGTAAACACTTCAAAAGTCAGTAATGAAAAATCATAGGGGGCGCTAAAACTGACCAAGCTATCGAAAACACTGTCGGCTTTCAGCTGGATTTAGTAAACCAATGTTCTTTTGCGTGCCAATTAGAACCAATAATTGGCGGATTAATTTTAAAATGAGACATTTTTATTATTTAAATAATTATCATGGCTTTGTAGACAACATCTTTCAAAACATATGGCCCTGGGTGGGTATCAGAAACTATAGTTCTTTTTTAGAAGAGGTGAACTTGGTACTGAACAGCTTGAGAGTTACCGAAATAAACCAGTGAGATACAGACCCTCCTTAAATTATTGCCCAAGCAACTTAGCCTTTCTAAGAGAACCATCAGACAACCCAGCTTGGAAGCCACATTGTTGGTATAATTAATATAAAATAACTACATGGCTCAGTTCTTTTTAAGTTCAGCAAGATAATAGAAAAAAAAAACTAAAGCAGGAGTTCTTGCTAGACCTGTTTATTTCAACATTTCACATTAGCACCTTGATGCTCTGTGTGATTTATGAAAGGAGAACAGGCTTAGCAATTAACCATGTTCCACCTCTGTGCTCTTTCTTTCCTTTCTTTGCTCCCTTTCACATTTTTCCCCACTGTCTCAGAATTGAGGCAAAGGTTGACTTGAGCTTCATTTCTGGCTTCCCTATGCTGTAAGACATGAGACAAGTGGAAGGAATCATGGACGTAAAGCAAAGATGAAATTTCTCTGTAAGAGGAAAAATCTCCGGGGCCTGCATTAACAGTAAGAGTGGGGTTGCCACTAGACAGTAAGCTCCATATGGGCAGAGAAATTGTTTTATTTTGTTCATTAAACACCTGGGAGCTTAGAACAATGCCTAGAATATAATAAGCGTGGGATAAATAACCGCATGATGTAGTAAAAAAAAGACACTTGCTAAATTTCTTTAAGTACAAGCAAGTCAGCAAGATCTGAGAGATTATAACCTTTCATTTCAAAGCAACTTTGATAGGTAACTGTGATTTTTACATTAACCCAACTACACTTTTTTCCCTTATTTTCAACTTATATGTTTATCTTCTCTAAGAATTATTATAATGATAATGGTAAAGCTTTCTTTTATCTCTTCTGCATCTCATAATAATAGCTATCACTTATCCAGGTCTTATGTGCCCAGCTACTGTGTGCTCTGTTCTAAATTTTTTATATATTAACTCAACTACTCCTATTACAAATATTTTTAAATAGTCCGAGGAGAGCTCTTAAAGAGGTAAAAAACACCTTACTAGAGAAAGCCCAATACAGCAGAAGCAACTGTGTTTGAATAATGCCCACTGGGTCTCAGAATTCTTAGTTGAGCACACCTTCTAGTTACGGAGCTCTAGGGCCAAAGAAAAAGTGCTCTTGAGACTAGAGCACTAAGGTGCACCGTGGAAAGCTTCACATTTCTTTTAGTCTTTTGTTTGAGCTTTAAAATTCAACATAGATGCCAGATTAGTAAACTAGTACAGACTGGGAAGGGCTACAAGAGAGCCTTCTGGGTGCTGGAACTGTTCTATACTTAATTGGGGGGTCACATATATGGGTGTGTATATATATATATATATGTAAAAATCCATCCATTGAGGTATACACTTGAGATTTGTGTACTTTATGAAAATTGTACTTTAAAAGAAAAAAATCAGTTCCCAGACCCTTAATTTAAAGACATCATTCTCTACAAGGGTTTCAACTATTATTTTTATATGCATGACAGGCCAAAATATTGAAACACAAATGACCAAAACCTTTCCCCTCTGCAAAAGAGCTCATGCAAATTTGCATTCTAGCCCACAATATATTAGTATTCATTTCAATAGAAATTATTGTGATTTTTTTCAAGATTGTCAAGTAAACTCAATCCCAGAAAAATGCATGTTTGCCCTACGTAGCAGAAACCCTTGGCTCCTTTGCAGTGCTCATGCGCCAGTTTAGAAATTAGCAAAGAGGGGGTTTCACTTAGGGTCCCAAGACAATCTCTTAAGGAGTCTGACCATGAACAGTAGCCAGATGTTTGCAAATCAAGTTAAAACTTCTTTTCTTCCCTTCAAAGTACCTAAATATAAACTTCAAAATAAACAAGCTTTTCTTTAGAATATTTATTGCCACACCTGAAGAGTAAGTTCATGGATAGCTCAGGGGATAAAAACACTGTGGAAAGAAAAGCTAATCTTTTTTTTTCATTATTATTATTATTATTAAGTAAAGAGAAGTACTTAATTTCAGTGATAATGAGAGGTGAGACACCTGGAATCCCATCCTCCCACCTTGTTCCAAGTCCCCTGCCCGCTTCTCCCACACAGAGAGCTCTGGTAGACTTCAAAGTCAGAGCAGAAGTGATAGACACAGACTGGTCTTTGATGCTTAAAGCATCGGAGCCCTCAGTTTGATGTGAATGCAAAGCATCTGTACTTTTCAAGCCTTTCATGTTATCTCACATTGCTAACAACAAAAGCTGAAAGTTTGAGGTGACACACATTACACACATTAAAATATTTGGAACCAGGAACTTTTCATTTCTTTTTCTATTATATATGGCTTCTTTCACTTTGCAAACCATACTGGATAGTAAATTACTTCTGGCATGCAGCCTTGACAGCTTGCCAGATTTCAACTGGAGCAAGTTTTTATAGCCGGGCTAATAAGCCCTGAAAATTAGGAGGTAAGTATAATGGAAATAATGACATGGTCTTTAACTGCAGGAGCATAGAATGACCAAGTGAAATTCTAAAAGATTCTACTTTATAAAAAGTCTTTTTATTCTAATGAAATCTTTTTTGTTTAATTTTAGGTTATTATAGTTCAAAACACATGTAAATGGAAAGTTTCATTTAATTGGTGAAAAACATTTTTGTGGTGTTTTTTCTTGTGGCTTAAGTTATTGCTTTTTGCAGACTCAAAACAAAAACAAGAACAAACCCAAGAATATGGTAGTTTAGGGATAACAACCTACTATTGAAACAAACTGACATCTTGAAAAAACATGTTCTGAAATGATTGGCTTCCAGAATGGGGCCTAGCAACTGGGTATGAATACATTCCATCAATGCCATTACTGATTAGCTACATCAACTTTTTTTCAATTTATCCCCAATCCAGATAGAAAAGCAGTCCCTGCTTCAGTAACTTTCAGATCTTTATTGAACAAAGCTTCAAAAAGCTGAAAATGAATATCACCGTTAATTTTTGTCTCTAAAAGAAATGTAGTATCCTTTGTGAGGTAGTATCCACTTCTCTAAATTTAATTCTTACATCCATTTCCATTTACAATTTATAAGTGACAAAGAAACTTCTTTTTCCTCTTCTCATTCTGCCCTCCAATTAGACCTGGACTGATTAACCTCAGCAATATATGCTCAGTCCCAAATTGTTTAAGCAAAGTAGAGGTTTGGATGTGTGTGTGTGTGTGTGTGTGTGTGTGTTTATGCAAAAATAATATGGGGTGTGTGTGTGTGTGTGTTTATGCAAAAATAATATGGGGTGTGTGTGTGTGTGTGTGTTTATGCAAAAATAATATGGCCTTGCTCCAGAAATGCCAGCTTTCTCATAGTTCCCCAACCATACCATGCTATTTGATACCTCTATTAACACACACTATTTCTTGTGCCTGAAATGTCTTTTGCCCACTTATCCATTTGACAAATTTAGTTCATGGGGATAAAAAAGGAAACTTGTCCTTAACACCCCACCCTCCCACTATCACTACCAATTTGTGTAGTTACATGCATTACATAAAGGTCTCAGTCTTTGAATCTCCTATTTTCCCTCTCACTAATTCTTTAGGTGACCTGATCCAGGCCTGTAACATCAGATACCACCTATCAGTGCTATCCCACAGATATTTTTGTTCTGGAAATGTTCTGTATCTGCACTGTCCAATATGGTAGTCATGAACCCCATGTAGTTGTTGAGCACTGGAAATGTGGTTAGAGCAACTGAGAAACTGAACTTTTAATTCAATTTAATTAATTTAAATTTAAATTGCCACATGTAGCTAGTGGCTGCCACATTGAACAGTGCATATGACTTCCAAATTTATAGTGCCAATCTGTATTGATGCCCTGAACTCCGGAATCAGCTAACTGCCCGCTCAACATCTCCACTTAGAAATTTTACAAGCATTTCAAATTAGTATGCCCAAACCAAGCTGCCAATGTTCTTCCCCAAAATTTACTCCTGCTGTAATCTCCCTCTTGGTTAATGGCAATTCCATTCTTTCAGTTTTTCAGGCCAGAAGCCTGGGAGTTGCCCATAACTTCACAACTAATTGTCAGCAATCCTCTCTGTTCTACAAAATATATCCAGAATATGACCTCTTGCCATCATTACTACTGCTATCATCCAGGTGCAACCTATCAATCTCTCTCACCCAGATTACTGCTATGGCCTCCAACTGGTCTACCTGCTTTCACCCTGGTCCTCTGGAGTCTGTTCTTAACAGGAATCTGTTCTTAACAGGTGTTTATTCTTAACAATAGCCAAAGTTATTTCGTAGAAATTTAAGTCAGACGACATACTTCTCTGCACAAAGCCTTGCGGTGGCTTCTTGACTTAGAGTAAAAACTAAAATCCTTTCACCTGCCTACAAAGCCCCATGCAATCTCTTGCCCT